ATTATACTACGTATTATATTATATTACCAATACGGTATTGATACAATCCTATTTTGATATTGCAAACCCAAAACGGGAAGAGCTTATCAACGTCAGGTCGTCAGCATAACTAAGGTTATTAAATTTGATGTTCTTCAATTCCATTTTATGAATTTCAAAACTGGGTCAAAAATACCATTATATATTTGCAAGGAAAAGCGAACACAAGTAACAAGTAACTACAAATCAGACATTACCCTATATACTCTGACGGATTCAATTTGAAACAACTGGGAATTTAGACGAGAGAACGCCACCATGTACATTACATCTCTGCAGTGACCTAACACTTATGTGCTCTCGTGCGGCGGTCCACAGGGCCTCGACCCCTAGGGGCCCCGAAGGTGCCTCTACCCATAGGGTCCTCGATCTAGACCCTTACCCAAAAGGGCTTTGTTGATACATAACAGCATAATGTGTCTCAGATCGACTGTAAGACATAGGCTACATCACCCAGTAGCGGATTAAAGAGGGAACTGTCGGCCCGGGTCCCCCTAAATCTAACCAATAAAAATGAACATAAAAGGAAAATTATACTGACATTTTAAGTCTATGAGTGCCATTGCCGGCCATTTAGACGTGCCGTAATCATAAATGTCCTTACTTCAGCCCCAAACATGGTGGGGCTGAGGTGGTATAGATCTGTAAAAGTCCCTCCCTGCCCATGGCGAAGGTCTTTATCTGCCCTCTGCAATTCAAATACCTTGATCTGCAACTGATATCATATCATTTATTCGTCGTTAAAAACAATCTAGAATACAATGACAAATATTAGAAAAACGAGCACATCTAAAACCCCACAATCGAATTGGCAACCGGATCAAAAAGGGGCCCCAGTCTCAGAAAGCCACAGGGCCCACATACCCGTCGTTACGCCGTGCACTGCATCTCTGCTAAATTAAAATTATTTATTAACATGCGTGTTCTATCAATCAACGTCACAAGCCTACAAAATAATGTCCAACCATTAACCCGATCAAATGCTTTTATCGAGAAAGCAGACATAGTGCACTGGACTACGTCCCTAGTCAACAATTCGTACTAAAATAAACACAGGTCTGTCGAGTGATTGCTTCACTTCCCCCTCCCCTCTCCTCCACCCCTCAAGAATACCCCGGGACTACGAATACTGCAAATTGAGCAAGGCTGAGTTGAGGAAGGGCCATGAGGCCATCAATGAAAATCAATAACAACATTTCTATATAATACTGATATAATTGTACTTGGAAGATTAAAATATTTAGGATATTTGTATAATAAACCTTATTTTTATAGGTGTAATTTTGCCCTACCTGACGTGGAAATGTACCGAATACTCAGTACATTTGAAAAAAACTGCGAAAAAAAATATCAAGTTGTTCTCGGGTGGGACTCGAACCCACGATCTCCAGATCACTAGCCTGGCATCATATCTCTAGACCACCGAGCTTGCGCCTGATGGCCAGGGTTGAATTCGAGTCCAAGTAAGCAGACGCAAATCCAGTTATTGTCTATTATTTCATCACGACAATAAAAATTTATCAAACCTTATTTTAAAATCATATTTATGAGGGTGACCTTTTCAGCTATATTCAGGGGCCCTCTTAAATATATCGTCGCTCACATCACGAACTAACACAATCTACTTTGAATCACAGTAGCGCGTCAAAACGAGCGCGTATTGTTTGTCAAGCAATTTTGTATTCTTTACCACACAAAAAGTCCTTAACGACAATAGCGCGTATTTTGACGCGCTTTTTTGATTAGTCATGAGAAAAAGACCTGCTGTCACAGGAATTGAACCCAGGACCCTGAAATCTTAACCACTGAGCTATTCAACTCCACTCAACATCTGCGTATAAGAATTAGTGCAATTATTTATTGTATGTATCGTAGGGCCATACAGGCAGCGAGTGCCCGGCTTCCAATCCCATGGTCCTGGGTTCTATTCTTGTCGTGGTAACAGGAATTTTGCTCACGACCAAAACAATTCCATTCCCTAAACCTCATAGTGAGATGTATAGGTCTTCTGCTTGAAGACCGTCTTGTATGTAATGATTGTCTCTTAGAAAAGTTCGCTGCTTGGCAAATACTCGTCCCTTGTGCCTGAAGTTAAAAGAAAGGGGAAAAAGACAAAATTAAATAAAGTGGACATAGCTTTGTTTTGTCTTACTTATCTTCTTTCATATCCGTACGTTAAAATTGATGTTTATATTTGAATGGTATTCACAAATTGCGATAAGAAGAATGATAGGCCTACTTCAAAACTGCTTAAAAATATGTGCCAGATTTGAGAGATTCGTGTTTTGTGGTAACAGCGGAAGAACGTAATAAGGGTACATCCTAACATTGTCACGTGATGCCTTACGGGATTAATTCACACAGGTATTCTCGTAATAAAGCACAGGTTTAATACTGTAATACAATAGCTTTGAATTTGTTAACCATTTTTCAGTTTGATCCAATGAATGGTAATCATAATACTGATAAGGAATGAAAATAATGATAAAAATGACAATACTGTAATAAGGCCCAATAAAAAAAAAATAGTTTATCACCACCTCCCTCATCACTTTTAGGGAAATTATGATTTTATTTTTTTTTTCAAACGGTCGTTTTTCCATCATTTTTTACTTGAAAAGCTCAGGATTTCTTGCAAATATGTTTACTGGTAAAACAAAATCACATTTTTTTTTTCAATATATTAAATTCCATTCTTATGACTTTTTATATGTGTCCCTAACCATTGATTTACTTGTGACCATCGGTAAAATGGAGACAGGATTAGCAAAAAAAAAAAAAAAAAACTTACTTCCTCATCAGTTTTTATTCTTTGATAGGACAACAACACAACACAACAGTTTCAGAATAGGTAAGTGAGAAGCACATAACATTAATAGAACCCGCTCTTTAAATGACCTGTAAAATTTCAAAACAGGGGAGCGAGGCACTGTGACTGCTACTGGTCACCGCGGGACCCTGCCAAAATTGTCCGATACTTAAGTCTAATTGGTTTTATGTAAGCATATCTTTACTAAATTCGAATTAAGGTGCGTTTGAATAAATGGTGATTAGACACCCCCTCCTCGGGACCCAGTTTCCCTCGAGTTCGGCATTTTACCGTTGATTACTAAGACCTATTTCTACTTAAAGTGTTCTGACTCCTTTTAGGCAAAATATTGGTGTGTCACAAACGCCATAAAAATGGATCCTGAAAGGGAAACAATTGCAAAAGCAACACCTGTACGGAAATGTACCGTAGCTGAGCGGCTTGAAGCTCTATCGAGATTATCAAAATATATTCTCTGAACAGGGCTTAAGAGACAGCAGGCCTACCAACAGCAAAACTGTTTGTTATGAGGACAGGTTCACGAATAGAAAATAAATGAATAATCACATAAGCACCTTGGTCTCATCTCTGGCGATGATACACTTATGCTACATATATTATAATACTATATTATATTAGTATATAATACATATAATAATATTATTATATGTATGCTACATACAATATATTATTGTGTTGCTATATGTAGCATAAGTGTAAAAACTGCACGTTGAATAAGATTATAAAGTCAATAATGTAATGCTATAGGCCTATATAGATACCTCACATCCACATTAAAGTGGGTCCACCCTGATATTGTCCCTCACAGTTTGAAAATCCTGGATACGCATTAGTGGAACTAGCAATGGTAATTGAATATTTTTGCATATCCAGGGGAAAACACATTTTAATTCCTTCACAAGTGTATGCCTATGCATGGTTGGGATTAAAGAACAGACAGCGTACATACTGTTCGAAAATGAATCAATGAATTATTGCAGATGGTTCTAACGTGTGTAGTTCATTCCGGGCCTAATGCAGGCGTTTGCTAAAGCAGAAGTTGAAGTAGGCATATATTGTGGCGTTCACTCTGCAATGCATTCATGGTTAACGTTACGATACTTCAGGCTGAAATAGTATAATATCTTTAAAATACGTGTTACAGAAATATAGACTCTTGCAGGAATCGAACCCACTCACTGCGCGCACCCGACGGTTGTCGGCCGACGCAAATCTATGGAGAACGCAACGCCTCGATGAGCGCGGAACGGATCGTTTTATCGACGATCTATTCGGACTGCCACCGACCATGCACCAACAATCAGCAGACGACGTCGCGTCGTCTTAAGCCGCGGCACTCATTTTTCGGCCGCCTCGATTCTATGTAGAACGCGCAGCGAGACGACGTGCACACAACAGATCGTTGTTTTTAATGACGATTCGTTCAGACTGCCACCAAAATCTGTAGATGACGTCGCATCTTCTGTCGCTCACGAGTTGAATTCGTCGTACGACGCAGTGAGCCCGGCTTAACTCTCACTATGAATTCGTCGGACGACGACATCGACCGTCGGTCGTACGACGAATTAAGTGCCCGCCTTTAAGAGTGCCGTGCTGACGCTTTTTGCCAACTGCACTAAATGGGGGGGGGGGGGGTGGCGCAATTGAGGTACCAGGCTCGCGCGAACTTTGGCGATGAATTTTTACAATTGACTTGTCCAGTACATCATCTGACAAGTACTGTCCACTGCATGGCTCCCATTTTACACATCCATTCATTTTGTTATAATTTATATTTAGAGTGGGTAACCTGCTCAGTAGAAACATACTGTTCTCGATTTGTAATAATTAAATAATTAAATTAAATTAATAAATCAAATATAATGACGTTCTGGAGACGCCTCCCAAACAAACATTGCACACCCCACATCTATTCATAAATCTGTAGGCCTATCACTTACATAGTTATGGCTCCCCACCCCCTCATAAACCCCACTAGATTTGGTGCTGGTGCCCACACTATCCATGAGTTTATCCATGAATATAGGCTTAAGTAAACTATATCTCCATGGGCCTGCATGTGCGCTATGCTAGTTTTGCTGTATCATTGCCATTTGTTGTATTCTAACAATGTTATCATATCTTTTCACAGAACAAACCAACTGTACCGCCGGCAAACAAAATCTCGTAGACGCAGACATACTTTCAAAATCCGGCCACGAAATCCCGTCACGTCATGTGAGACAAAGAAACATGTCATGGTGTTATGGAACTTTTTATGACCAAAGCTTTCACGAGTAGAATATTATCCTTACATACCCACCATTATCCATCATACAGGCCCATACAACGGGTGCAGTGTAATAACTAGTGATTGTAGGCCCTAATAAAAAAAAACAAAATGCATAGTGACGTACAAGAAGTGTGGGTCAAGCTAAACCCGGACGCCGTTGCCGTGTCGAGAATCACTGAGAAGTCAGAAAAGCCAAACAGTTTGAATGAGAAGGTGGGAAGAAGACCATTGCCTGTTGTATCATGGGGATGGCTCATAACACTAGCAGCATTCACGTTACATTTCTTCACGTATGGAACTCTTTTCTCATTTGGCGCAATGTTTGTTCCTCTGCGCGATACATTCAACTCAAGTGAAACTTCTGTTGGTAAGTTATTTTGCTTACTAAATATCATTAAGTTAGTTAGTTCGTAATTTTATTGCCACTTTTTGAATGTGTTAATTGTCGTGTTACATGTCCCGTTATGATAAAGTTCCCCACCCCCAATTCGAGACCCCCTTTGAAACCTGAAAATTTGAGGTGGTCTCACGGTTCGGTCTCCATGTAGAAGTTTAGTGTTAATAGCTTGAATATTTTTTATTTGGCTCTTTAAAAAAGTGATCTCGTATTAGAAGGGTGTCAGAATTAGATGGTCTCCGAATTGCAGGTACACTGTACTTGTTCCGGGATATTCCTAAGAATTTTTTTAGGTAATTCTTCAGGAAATCCAGGGTAGGTAACTAAGTACCGGTAAGTAATCTCAGCTTATCAACGTTGTCTTCCTGTGGATTATTAACATTTTAGGCCAAATAAAATTACTTGGTAGTTTCACGACCGGGATTTGAAATTATTTTTTGATGAGGGTATTTACTATTTGCTATCCTATTATTCTAATTGGTAAACATTATATATGGAGTAAAATGAATATTTGTAATGTAGGCATATTTCTGCCATTTATGTTCCCATCTCTTCTTAGGCTTTATTGTCCATGAAAAAATGAATGTTATTTTTTTTTTTTTTTTTTTTTTTTTTTTTTTTTTTTAATAATAATGCTGCTGGGGCTCAAAAATTTTATGAGGGTGGGGACTTTAAACTAGCCATTAATTTTATTTGGCCCTATAAGATCCAACCACCAAACACGATTCTAAAATTATGAAACATACCGGTACATCATCTGATTAATTAACCTAACTACATACGTACAGTATGCGTTAATGAAGATTACAGACACAATACTGGTAGCCTTTATTCGTAATCGAATTATACACTACTAAATACATTGCACTTTCTTTACCTACAGAAAGTGCAATGCCAGTCGTATGTCTACGCAGATAGGCCTACCATCTAGTTTAGGTTTCTATGCAAAAGAAAAATACGTACAGTATAATCTAGTGTTTATACGTCCGAAAGTTGAAATGGATTACCTTTTATTAATAATCAATAGGTCCGGATTTATAAGGTGCAAACAATTAACAAGGTCTCTAAGCACCAGGTCAGGCAAAGTAAACAAAAGGCAAGGTGAACGCATTGAAAAGCAGAATAAATACAGAGATTTAAAGAACAGATAAACAAGAGAACAGACAATCCTAAAATTAGCCAAAAAAGGAAAAAACCGGACCACAAGAACACTAGGAAGTGCAGGGAACCAAAACGATTGCATCGTTTTCGTGCTGGTTCAGACTGGTGATCAGTTAAGGTCACTATTTTCTATATAAATTTAAAAGTAATTGAATGAACACTGAATGAATATACACTAAACCAAAATACTAAAGGTCCACAGACATTAGTCCTAGTTCTACGCATTGAATATATTATACCCTCATAGAAAATTATTAACCCTATATATATATACCCTCATAGAAAATTATTAACAAATGATCAATTGAATCATTAAATAGCTAATTAATTAACTTTCAATGATACCCAGATGGAGAGCATAAGGAAACAAAACGATATCGCTTATGCGTCTGTTAATTCGCGAATATTCATTTTTCATTCTATTTTCATTTGAATATAATAATAACTTAGACCTACTTAGATACGGCAAGCAATTCATTTCAGCTCAACATAGTTACAGGATAACTCTCCATGCTTTAACCCTACTTGCCACAGGCGGCAGCGAGGGTCGCGAACTAAAAGTATTGTCACCTCTAATCTCGTAAATGTGAAGTAAAATATACTGTATGGTATAAAGAAACCAAATAGTATACCAAAAAGCGTAAATAAAATCCAATACAAAGCAATTCCAATGGGGTAATAATGGGAAGCGCTCTTAGACTTATTTACCTGCATTCGAGTGATTTATAAGTATCGGCCTAATTCTTTGTATAGGCCCATCATTAATCGTACTTCTAGAATGATCTTACTCTGTTTTAAGCCAAAACTTTAGGCTTAATCAACATTCGGCTTTCATATTAAGTTGCCAACAATTGACATAAAAATAAACATGGGCATCCGTTTGACTGATCATGAATGTGGTTCGTTATTATGCAGTGATTCTCATATAAATAGTCCGTAAATTAAGGGTGATTATGTGTTTTTTTTTTTTTTTTTTTTGTGGCAGTCAAAGTAGAGTCGGAGTCACCTTAATTCGGCCTCCCTTCTGTGTGTGGTATTCTTTGTAAAGTTCTCCGGATTAAATTTCCTAATAAATGTAGAACCAAATTTCATGTCGGGGGTTAAATTCATGGTGTGGTACGGGGACCGAATTTAAATGAAATTTCTTGGGTCTTATTCTTTACTCTTCAAACGCAGTACATAGGCACAGCGGCCTACATAATAGTAGACCTACGAAATAGTATGGAGGGGGATTGTTTGTTCTATTGTAAAAGCGATTTGCATAACAGGCCTAGCTTTAGAGGACAGGCTGTGTTTGTCAATAGGCAAGGACTTAGAATATCTAAAGCACAACGACATGTTGTGTTGCTGGTTTCACGAATCAATTTACTCGAACAATATGTATGCCTAATATATTTTACCATGGAGGAGTTTAGTTTAAAATCATTCCTCCATGTGGAGTTGAATAGCTTTATGGTTAGGATGCTTGCCTTCTAATCCCAGGGTCCTGGGTTAAATTCCTGTAACCGCAGGACTTTTTCTCACGACCAAAACAACTCCACTCCGTAAGCCTCATAAAGAGACTTAATTCGCTGATAAAGCATCACGTTATTTCATTTATTTAGAGGGCCCCTGAATATCAGCCGACCTTCTAGGATACGCTACAAGGGTCACCTTCTAAATAGTGTATAAAAAATGATTTTACCAAATACAGGATGGATGAAGAGAGAATAGCCACTAAATTACAGACTGTACTGATATGATCATGATTACATATCTTATATCGGTAACTATGGTTTCACACTCTCAAAATACAAGGACTTAAATACTTTTCCCTACAAGTTAAAGTTTTATCACAGTATAAACAATTTCATTAAAACGTACACTTAATCCGCCATTAAAGCAATTCTTATTAAGCTGAGATACAGTGTAGGCCTCAGTAAATATTGTTAGATAAACATTGAAAATAAAAATACAAAATTGCATAATAAAGAATCTCTCAAGTTAGCCTATTAAATTATGTTATTAAACCTATGGCAATATGGCAGGTTAAAGAAAAAGGCCTGCCAAGGATGTGCCTCTTACGCCTATTTTGTCAACAAGAAAAGCATTCCATTAACCTGGACCCCTGTACCAGTGGGAATCTCTTTGCAATGTCATTACTGGTTTTAAATGTAAAGTTTCTTTTTTTTTTCTTTTTTTTTTTGCGATATTTCAATTTAAGTTTTTATTTGATGGTTGAGCATAAATGTTATATTATGCCTACTACATACGAATTGTTTAATATTATGTTGTATTTTGATTTTTGAGTGCCTCTTTGGAAAGCCATTCTCGTTATTTATCTCATATAAAGCAATTTAAAAAAATGTAAAAGATATTATAAAACACTATTTCGAACAATGAAACAGACTCTAAATCGCTTGTGACGTTTGAGAGACCAATCAATAATATGCAGAGTTCAAATATATTAATCTATTGAACAGATATGATGTTTGTGTACTCTATTTCAACGACTGTAGACCAGTGTCTGCTATGTTGCCGAAAATGTGTGATGAGTTGGTTTCATGTCCTTGCAAAAGTTGTGAAATTTCTTTAAAAATGACAGTGTGTATCGAAAGTGAAGATATATGTGTGCTTGTGTTGGTAAGTCAGTGTTAAGTGTTGGAAAAATATGGTAGGCCTACTACTGATTGTTATTAGGCCTAGATTTTGTGGAAATAAAACTTGAAGATCAGCAGGAATGGAGAATGTGAAATTTGTGTACAACAATGGAAGCAGAATGGCTGTCTATGGTGGAAAATGGACACAACACCAAGCTAGTGAAGATTCTTACAGGGGGGTTGCTTTTCTAGATAAAATCATCCTCGGCTTTGATTGGATTGGAATTCGTTGGTGTGAAATACATCAATGATAAGAAAGAGGTACCTATTCCAATATACTCCACTCCAATATGTGACTGCTCCCTTCTCCAATCGACTGCAGACATATTGAAAACAGACCAGAAACCTCTCTTGAAATAGGTTTAGATCACAGATCATTCTGACATCTTATTCAAGCCTCATGTTATGTATATAGCAGATCTACGGTTAAAGATCACTAGTACTACCGTTCCATGACAGGGTCCAAAAACGTTTTTTGTACCATTTTTGGTTGATTTTCTGCAAATACCGTAATTTTACAGCTTTCTCCATTTCGGCTGATGTTGATATGTAGAAACTGGGCGGAATTACGTTAAGTTCGAGTCATTTTGTGAATTGGAGTTCTCTTTTTATTGGTTAGGGGTAACTCCTGTAACAAAACAGCTTTGTCAAAAACGTGACTTTTTACATTTGGGTTCTTTTTTAAACCTCTTTTTTCACGGAGTAATTTTCTGAGGTTACTGGTTCTGGGATACAACCAGGCTAAGGAAAGTCTATATAAAAATAATGAAATACCTAACTTGCAACACATTAAGTTAGTCACTATAATAGACCTAGTAACAATATTATGTTCCCAATGTTTCAGATTGTTTGAGATGAGCTGCTGATACGAATATTACAACTTGTTCACATTTTTGAGCACTGCTATTATTTATCTATTTGATTATTGTCATTTATCTATTTATTATTATATATATGATTATTATATTTGTTATTACAGGTACATGTTTTAATCTTGCAGGTTGGGTAGGATCGATAAGTCAAGGTCTGGGCGGTTTGCTGTCACCGTTTGCTGGGCTTATGTTCGAATTCATCGGCTTCCGATTCACGACGTTTATTGGAATCAGTCTCTGCGCCGGAAGTCTCGTTCTGTCGTCGTTCGTTACATCAATACCGTATATGTTCGTCACATTCGGCTTGCTGTTCGGCACCGGTACTGCTTTAGTGTTTAATACAAGCGTAAACGCCGTTGCGGCATACTTTCAAGGGAGGTCGGCAGCTGCCAGTGGTATTGCGTTATGTGGGATGACAGTAGGTGTGTATATCGTGCCGTGTTTCAATATGCATCAATGAACACGGTGGCAAGTCGTGAAATAATGGAACACCGTTAATTGCCTGCATCAGTCTAGGTGCGTTGCTGATTACGCAACTGAAGTCAGAACGGCGAACAAATTTCACGACTTAGTATGCCTATATTTATATAATTAACTCGATTTCATTATGTATATACCTGTGTTTATTATATTAGGCAATATTATCATTATTGATATTATTTTGCCCATAATATATCGCTCTTGCTGTTGTTGCTGCTGTTTTATTTTAAGACGTGATGATAATCATTCAGTGTTATCCTATTGCACCAAAGATTCAATTATTTGCCTATTATTTTTTTATATAACATTTCAATGATTCTGTATATAACATTTTAATGTAATTATCTTCTTGCCGTTATAGTTTGTCTGTATTATTTTTTTTTATCATTATCTGTGTTACTATTTGGTCTATTATTCTATTTTTCAGGAACGCTTACTTTAAATTCATTTCTTGGGGTGCTAATTATCAACTTTGGTTGGAGGAACATGCTGCGGATCTTAGCCGGTGCGCTCGTGATTACGTGCTTCCCATCATGCTTAGCGTTCAAAGAACCTAGTCACGACATTCTGGCAGCTACCAAGGAGATGGAGGCAGATGAAGACGATCTTTCCAAAGGTCGCGATGTCTGGAAATACGTCAGAATTTTCATGACAGTAGATATGCTACTCTTGTTTTCTGCAGTGACGATATATTCCATAGCCTGTGCTTTCCACTATATTAATCTTGTGAGTGTTGCATACGTAGCATTCCCGCATATTGAATCATATTATTCATAAAAACAATTCTGCTTTGACTGACATGGTTGGCTTACATAGGCTAATACAATTTATGAACAAGCCTCACATCGTTTAATCAAGTAATTTATAATTTATTAGTGTATAAAAATATGATATTTATATATTAAGGTTAATTATTACACTGTCTGTTATTTACATCAAATCCTTGAGCACATATACATCCGCAAATACATACTTGTGCAGTATACCTACCACGTGCTTAAGTGATGATTTAGAGTGCTATCTATCACAAATGACTCAAACCGGGTAGATACTGCGTTGTAGGACCATCGGCTGACAAATCTATCTCCGTTCCCTGTGAGCGCTAGAAAACGCGATGTCGTCTGCTGATTGTCGGTGGAAATCGTTATTTAACAAAAAAAATCCATTGCGCACGCGTCGTCACGTTGCGCTCTGGAATTTTTGTTTAGGCCTAAAATTAAATATATTATATCATTTCATTTCAGATAAGTTTTATGTATTCAATAGGTATCAACGAATCCAGTGGATGTTTAGTGGTTACAATACTCGGGGCAGCGGATGGATTAGGAAGGCTACTTTCGTCCGTTGTTGGTGATCGTCTGCCGTGTTCCCGCCTTTACACATTAGTCGTCGCTTGTGTTGTTGGTGCTATTCCAACGTTTTGTCTAGTATTTATTGAAACTTTCGGATTAATGGTTGTTTATGCAATAAGTAAGTTAATGATTATTTTATTTTCATGAATATGGATTTTTTAATTTCAATTCAGAATAATAATTATTACGTTCTTTATTGTTATTTATTATCATCATTTACATCATCAGTGTCGATTCCTTTGTCTTTGTCACCACATTGTCATTTTTACTATTGTTCTTGATATTATTGTTATTGCTATTCTTACTTTTACGTGTATTGACATTGCTTATTGTTATTGGCAAGGTTATTGTTAATATTACTATTTATATATTCTACAAATGTCATTATTATTATATATATTGAACCTATACTCCATAACCGTCACTTTAAAAAAATAATAAAATATGAGACCCAGAGGTGATGATAGCACATTAATTCCAAGATACCGTATTTATTCAAATAAACGCCCCGTTTTGAATAAACGCCCCCTCAGAGCCTCATTTGGGATAAACGCCTTCCTAATAAACGCCCCCTAAATGACTGTAAGCAAATACATAACATAATTCTCAACACATTCTATTATGTTTTACTCTATTAGAATTATATTTTTTTTTATAACTTGGTTGGGATAAGTCTTTACATGGAGGTATTTTAGTACTTTAATACCTCCATGTCTTTATGATCACGCAATAACATATTTTGATGGTAATTACGTGCTAAGTTCCCCATTTACAGTGAAATTAAGGGGCGTATATTTGAGTTTATATATGTATCCATTTTACACTTAATAAATTAGGTCCCGTCTCCCTCGAATAAACGCATCCTATAAAAAAAATACGCGCCGGGGAGTTTATTCGAATAAATACGGTATACTAAAATAGTGTTACCGTATGTAATAATTATTGTTTTCATTTTTGTATGCTTATCAGTTCTTGGCATTTCACGTGGTGTAATATTTACTATGCAATATCCGGTTGCCTTGGAAACGTTCGGAGTAAGAAGAGGTGTTGAAGCTCTAACAAATGTAATCCTAGCTATGGGTCTAGGTACACTTCTCGGGAGCTCCGTTGGGGGTAAGTGATTTTGCTATATAAAACCAATGAGTTCGTACACCGTACCACATACGAATGTTTATGACCCCATTTGAAGTCTTGTTTCGTATAGTCGCACATAGGCCTACACACTGCTACATACAACGGCCGTAGACCTATCTGATCCCTCTACAAACTTGGCGAGGCCTTGACGGCGTTTTCTGATCGTCAATGGCAGGCTGAGCGGGATAGCAATTAACAACGATCTTTGCGCGCGCCTTGTCGCGTTGCGTTCATGTCTCGGCCGACGACCGTCGGTGAGTCGGCTTCAAGTAACGTTTCGACATTGAATCGTAAAAATATATTGAAGTTTATATAATTTTTTTAGATTGATATCACCAATATATTTTTCTTTTGGATTTTGAGTTCACTTAAATCTGATGCTGTGATTCTTATTTTTCGTCTTGCAGGTATGAGCTTCGATCGGACTGGTTCCTACGAAACGTCTTTCTATATATGTGGCGGTCAGTTATCGTTTGCTGCCACTTTAGTTCTAATTCTCATATATTATAGGAAGGTTAAGGAGCGGCGTGGTGAAACGCGTTACGTGCATCAAACGATTAACACAAATCCTTACCTGAAACGCTCTGTTCTCTACACGTACGTGTCAGTAGTGTAGCAAATCGATTTGTATTGTTTGTGTGTTGATGAAACGGTATAAAAATGTATTATCACATGGAATTCTGTAGCCCTTACTCCCTACTGGTAGTTTAACCTGGACACGACGGCTCGGGCTAGTTGGAACGAAAAGAAACAATGCGTCAAGTCACACAGTTCTATAACGACGCGACCGTGTATTGTTAATCAAGTAGACATATTTTACCTTACCGACGAAGTAACAGCGAGACCTACAATGTCAAATGACAACGCCTAATTTAAAAACTGCACCCTTTCAAAATAATTACAAGCCAAAGGACCCCATAAAACAAAGGACTTCAAAAACGTTACCTTCACCCCATCTCGATTATTGAGTTGCATCCGCATTATAATCATAACTGCTTAATTATATTTCGATAGATTTCATTTTAATGAGGTTGAATGCCCGAAATTGGGTTCGCTGTACTGTAGTTATTCGTGGTGTTGAGGTTTATATAGGGTTGTAAATTAGTGCATTTGTACACAATACTTTTTGTAAATGCATTCCCTCTGTGTTCGGAAGGTGTTCGCCTAAAAGCGAATTTGTAGTATTTGTATTTACGACATTAATTGCAGCGCCAAGACGAACAGCCCCGAGGACGGCCATCTTGGTTATATTTGTAGTATGGAAAATACGATAAAAATCATAAATCGGTAATTAAATAGCCTAGGCCATGTAGGCGCAACAATTTTTATGAAATTGTTCGTATAAAATTAGCAATTTAAATTTAATTTAAATATAGCAAATTAGGCCAGGCAAATTATCACATTTTTCTTAAGTATAACAAATCTTAAGGCATAATATGGAAAGGTCGTGATTCAATAAGAACGCGCAACCGTAGATCAACCATTGTAGAAATTATACAAGGCAATATTTTTTAAAGTAAAACCAGACGAAGATAATTATATAAATAATATAAAAAAGATAAGTATAAAAAATATAGAAAAAAAAACATTTAATTTTATTTATTCTATGGCCTACTGGTATAGATGTTTATGACCTTAGACGAGTAACGGCAAACCTCTAGTTAATAGACCATGCATTAAAGGATAATTTAAAGTTTGGTGTTTTCAGTGTAATTGTTGTACTTATACGTGAAGTCTCCGACGCAATCGGGAAGGCTCCCGATGGCGACCCGGCCGACCAATGAATCACCGGAAGCTATCGACGATTGCGCAGGGGCGGATTTAGGGGGGGGGCGGCCCGGCCCCGGCCCCCCCTTTTGGGAGGTAAAAAAAAGAAAAAAAAGAACAAAAAAGAGAGAAAAAGAAAAAAATGATAGCCCAGAATGCCTCAAATGTTATGTTCGGGCGTGTAGAACACAAAAATTTCGCGGAGCCATGCCCCGGACCACCTACAACAGTGTTGTCTCAATCGGCCCAACTTTCGGCCCCCCTTCCGACCCCCCCTTTTGGACATTTATGGATCCGCCCCTGATTGCGTGTAGTGATTGTATGGAAAACCAAGCTTTTGAGAGGTTCTACGCCTCAACTATTATAACCTAGGCAATAATTTAATGGTCTATTGCACCAAAGATTCTTTAAATTTACCACAATGCTGTACGATCTATCCCATTGTGTTCATGTGTTTATCAATTTCCGCAGAATTCTTATTACAGTACTTATTTCAACTCTATTCAGGCATACGCCAAGGATAGTCAATAGTGAACTTATGACTGTCCTATTTATGATGGCAATCCTTTTTACAAAAAAAAACACAATAAAAGATGCTCTACTTTGTAAACTAAATCTTATTATGAAGCTTTGAGAGTGGAGTTGTTTTGGTTGTGAGCAAAATACCTGCAACATTACCAATTTATATTAAGATAATAGGAATTACACAGGGCTAGTTTTAATTCAGATGGTAGGGGAAATGCTGTGATATAAAAGATAGTTGAGAAAATATAAAGTAATAATGATTACACTATCGACAATAGGCCTACCTCCTCTCCCTCCCCCCCTCCCCCTCCCTCTCCCCCTTCCCCTCTCTCTCTCTCTCTCTCTTCACGTATGGTACAGTATATCCCAACGATGATACGAATTTTTGTTCCATTATTCTGTCATATGTCAATTCCAATTGACGTCCATTGTTAAGGAGAGTAGATTTCGTTTACATTTAAAATTTGAATAATACTGAATAGTCTCGTTTACCCAACTGTCAATATTTAAAATGCGTGAATGCGTTAAAAGTGCGACTTAATGCGTTTGGAATGCGTGTGGTAATGCGTTTACAATACGTGTCATACATCTTCTATAACCTCTCAATTTATGTAGACATTGCCAATTTTTAAATAAATATATGGATACACACAAACGTAAATAGTGTCCTAATGATATCTGATCACTCGAACCATAGATAACTGGGGAGGTACAGTATTACATAAATAACAACTTCATACCCAAATCAAATGTGTTGATGAATAACGCGTATCATCTATTTTGAAATAATTTAACACTGTTGACTGAAATTTCAACTGGGTATGAAAGAAGGGATGGTGACCATAAAAATCCTACTTAGGCTTATCCTAGTCTACTCAAGCTGTTGTCAAAACAGGTGGCAGCCATTGGACACATTGGCGGTAGAACATGTCTATACGGTATTGATGGGTAAGGAACTATCACCATACCTTAGTGTGAACAAAAAAAAAAAAAAAAAAAAAACCCTACAGTATTCGAGACGAGTAACGGTGTTACAGCCTATGTGGTAGACAGAGGAAAGTATCACCGTTTTCACCGGCTTGGAGTACTGTTATTGTTAGTCCACTCATCGCAAGCAATGAACGTCATGTTTGACGGATGCCGGCACTATACAAATCACCCCAGTTATTATTATACCAATATAGATATTTATTTATTTAGTTTATTTATTAAACAGAAAATTTATTTAAAACTATTAAAGCGTTTATATATTATGTCATGTAAATACAATTCTAACAATATTTTTATATGTATAATCTTTAACGACTAGACCCTATGGGATAATACAAACTCATTATTGATTTACCTTATTGTATAATAACAATTTTTACTTAAGACATGGATAATTTGTCACTGTCGGGTTTTACGTGTTTTTTTTTTTTTTTTTTTTTTTTTTTTTTTTTTTTTTTTCTTATAATACGTGAATTTGTTTTGCCACTGCACTGGGAATTGAGATATTAAACGAATAATCAATTTGTATGTATATGTCGTTGTATTTATTGTGTACAATTTGTTGTGTATTTCCTTGGTTTATCTCTATGAGGAAAAATATATTATTAAATGAACACTTGATATCCGTAATGGTCTATTAGATATTTAATTGGCACTTCTGAGCCTATCTGTCGGTTTCAAAATTGCCAAACTGAAACCTAAAATTGTGCAATAAAAGTAATGTAAACCAATAAAAAATGAAAAAAGTCCAGCTCCCATAAAACAACAATATGAATACACGCAAAACACATGCGTTTGTGGGACAGCCATGAGACAGCAACACGTGTGTTTGTAGTACACGCGCGTATTCCTGACCCTATTGTTATTGGTCAGTTATTTGATTGAAACTCTTTATTTTTATAGACCTACATTGTTTTAATGGACATTTCTACTAAGCCCCGCCCCTTAGATATAATTGTTGCCAAGGTCCCACAAAACGACAGTGTTGAAACATACGCAAACACGTGAGTTTGTGGGATGAAACAGCGCATGTTAGACACGCGCGTATTCCTAGCTCTGTTCTGATTGGTCAGTTGTTGTGTTTGATTGACACCCCGGAAAGGGCCATTTAAATCCTCTTTGGTTGATGTAAAGCGCATAGAGGCAGTCCAAGAATCATCTAACCAATGGAAATCCCTAATTGACAATCTTCCATCCGGGATATTAAAATTCTCGGTAAACGCTCTTGGCGACACCCTAAACACACGTGTCAATCTTCACCGATGGGGGAAATTTATTTCTGAAAAATGTAAATTATGTGGGAATCGAGAGACACTAGGCCTACATCATGCCTTAAATTATTGCAAAAATTCCCTGGACCAGGGTCGCTTCACATGGAGACACAACAATATTCTGAACCACCTCTCTCAGGTCATTCGAAAGGAATTCGATAGCATATCCTTCCCTCCAATGATTCTCTCCTACCTCGTGGCCGGAGACCGAGATGTTCCCCACCCGACTACTATTCCATCCGAATGTACCGTGACAAATTTGATCCGGACATCTGTATTTTTTGGAAAGATCTCAAAAAACTCGTAATCATCAAAATTACAGTTCCATTTGAAACGGGTATTAATCAAGCTCACTCCCGTAAAGTCAATAAATATTCTCCCCTCATGGCTGACATCTCGGCCTCTGGCTACGAGGTTGAACTGATTGCTCTGGAAGTGGGATCCAGAGGGTATGTCTCCCCAGATAATTTAAATAAACTTCATAGACCTAGGTTTTGTATGTTTTCCTTTGTTTTGTATCGAAATAAAGTGATTTTATATTATTATTATTATTATTATTATTAATATTATTTTTTTATTTTTTTTTTATTTACCATTTTATTCATTTAATCATACATTACATTCAAAATGAAAATAAACAAAAACAATTAAATAAGTGCCCTTTTTTTCAATACTTAGAGTAGTATACATATAACAACATTGAACATTTTTTATAAATTCTTTTACTAGTGAAAATATAATATTGTATTTCATATTCAAAACTTGTACCATAACGTTAGGTGAACTATTTATATACCAGAAGCCAGGGTAAGGCCATGACTTGAAATATTTAAATATTCATTATTTATTTGAAGCTTTGAAAAAGAACATGCAGTGAAGACCAAAATGAAAAGAATTTCTCTTGATTACAGGCGGAAAAATATATATATCTTGTAATATTATAGTATCTAACAATTTCTCTCTTTATATTTGTTATATATGGCAATACTTTCTGTTTACTATCTCTATAGATAATTTCCTTTACTAATATAATTACAACATTTATACAGTTATTATTTTTCCATCCATTCCAAGTATTATCATTTCCTTTGAAAATTGTAATTGTATTTGAAGGTTTTTATTTATCCAGCTTTCCAAACCTTTCCATATCTTATATATTTTTTCACAATCCCCAAAAATGTGGTCAATTGTTTCAGGAAATTGCTTACAAAAAATACATAATGGTGAATCAATGTACTTTAATCTATAGAGATAATTTCTCGTTGGTAATATATTATGTATAATTCTATACTGCAACCATTTCAGATCCGTACTCTCTGTGCATTTGATTGGTATTATATTAAACACTTCACTGTTTGTCAGTAAGCTCAATGCCTAATATTTTTTCCCATTTGGAATTACACGGCAACTTAGTAAATTTTGAATTGAGCAGAGTATGGTAAAAAAAATTGCATCCCTTTCTAGAAATTTGTAATTGATTCCCCCATGTTTGAGAATACGTGTTGATACTTCTCTTTTCACTTTATCAGGTTTTCCCTTCCATATGAAATTAAAGCACATTTTTTGTAACTTGTCCAAGGTATATTCCGGTGGGTTTGGAAGGGCTGCAAACAGATGGTTTAATGTCGATAATAAAAGTGTTTTTAAAATTACATTCCTTCCCAATGGGGTAAGTGTTCGTGCTTTCCAAATACTCATATTTACTTGCATTCTTTTTAATTTTTTGGAATAATTTAACTCAACAACATGTTCCAATTCTACATCAAAGTGGATTCCTAACAATTTCAATTCAGTTTGCGACAGTCAAATTTATATTCTTTACACAGTTTAAGTTTTGATCTCTTTTTTGAACCAATCCAAATAAGTCTTTTCTTATCAACATTGACCTTTAGACCTGAAAATCTTTCAAAGAAATGTAGAGTGGCAAGTACCGTACTGCGTACAGGCATTTTTCAGTTCCATCAAGTATCAATGTGGTATCATCTGCCAATTATTAATATTATTATTATTATTATTAATATTATTAATAATATTATTATTAATATTATTATTAATATTATTATTATTAAATTATTAAAAAATAAAAATACTGGCCTATTTAAAAAAATACATTTCGTTCGGTCGATAAGCCATTCGCAGTTTAATCTGAGCATAAGTGGACGGTCAAGTCATATTCAATTAAATTCAATTTCGTTGCTTCATCAGCCATCCAGAACCATTAACCGTCAAGTCAAACACACAATAACAATTAATACAATGCAACAATAAATATATACAAGGTGTAATTTAAATTTTAACTGTAAGCCTAAATAAGAGCAGTATTGAATAGATCGTAGGATTGCTAAATGAATTTGAATTTTATAGTATTTATAATTGATAGTTATGGTTTTCTGCTACAATAGACAGTGAAAATGAATAACTGTCCAATAATAAAGAATTATGAATATGCAATCGATAATAAATTCAAACCCTCATTTTAAACCGACTCAGGTGAAGTTAAAAATATAAGTTAAGTAAGTCGTAGATCAGATTAGCTTTCCTAATCATAATATCTAAAACATATATATTTGTTTTGATTACCAGAGTTTCATTCAAATTAATAGATTACAACAAAACAAGTTGTCTCATGTGGTAGTCACCGTGTGAGTGCAGTGTGCTAAACCGTCAAGATCTGTTGGTCCTCTGTTCAACGCCCATTGCTGCTCTCCCAGTCATTACCAGAATGACCCCATTGTACATTAGTCTTAAGACTTACTCTTAAGGTTATCCTTTGTGTTTATCAAGCCGAAACAATCTAATCTAATATTTCTGCCTTTATTGAAAGCTTACTTCTGCAGCCGGATGTTGTATAATCTATTGGATTTACGGATTGGACTTGTTTGTTGAAGGATTTATTGAACCATATAGCCAGGGAGGTGCTATAGCAACTTCCTGGAAAAACGTAACCCTGTGTATCTTCATTCAGTTCAGTCTCTTGGTCGGTTTACAAAATGCAACGTTTATCTATTAGTGCTATAT